AATATTCTGTGATAATATGAGACGGACCCATGGCAGATAGTAATATTCTGTTTGATTATATGAGACACACCCGTTACAGGTGGTAATATACTGTGATAATATGAGACACACATGTGGCAGATGGTAATATTGATTGTGATAATATGAGACTAACCTGAGACATGTAGCGATACCACCGTATTTTTAACATGTAAAAAAATTGTATTTATAAAAAGTGTGAGACATACTGTGATAGAAATAAACACATAACCCCCATGAGAATCATCAACATCGGATGGAAAGTAATAGTTCCGGAGAACAGACGGAAGGACGCAGATGTAATACGCCATCATCTTGTTATCATTAAAACTAGTATATATGTTTCTACTCGGAAGGATTTACTGATGTGGGGCCCTATGGAGATTTATTAATTTGTCGAGATACAGAGGCGGGGAAACAATTAGATCCTATATCAGTTCGACATCAATCTCTCTTCTCTAGAGAATACACACTTCACGGCGGTACGGAGAGTAAAAAACGCGTTAGATTCGCGATGTTAGTAACTACAATTGGACCGGAGTAATGGAATCTCCAGAACAAAATGACATGATCTGGAGTGAACTTTAATAAAACTTGGTTAAAAAGGAAAATACTATCATCTTCAAAAATTTAAACCATGTTTCAATCCACGTCTTTTTGATATATTTTTTTGGTGTACTTTTATTGAAACAAATTTCGCACTTGTTAAAAAGTATCGATTTTCTATTCAGTTGTGTGTCTTTTCTATATTGAGTTAGTTTCAATTAGGTTTTAATGGAATCGAGTTGTGATGGAAAAGTAATTCGATTTCACTATATTGGGTTGCGTTTTGATATACTACTTTCTCACTCTGTAAGGAAAACATCACTCTATAGACACGTTCTGTAGGGAGGCCATCCGTCTCACTTTGTGAGGTAGACAACCTCGTCCTATTGTCACGTGCTGTAGGGAGGCCATCCCTCTCACTTTGTGAGGTAGACAACCTCGTCCTATTGTCACGTTCTGTAGGGAGGCCATCCCTCTCACTTTGTGAGGTAGACAACCTCGTCCTATTGTCACGTTCTGTAGGGAGGCCATCTCTCTCACTTTGTGAGATAGACAACCTCGTCCTATTGTCATGTTCTGTGGGGAGGTCATCTCTCTCACTTTGTGAGGTAGACAACCTCGTCCTATTGTCACGTTCTGTAGGGAGGTCATCTCTCTCGCTTTATAACTAAGGACATCTGATTCTATAGCCTTATTCTTCTTGACGACACCGACAAAGCATGTTTGATGTACCATACAAACTACTTCTACAATGAATGCCTATAGTCTTCTGATTTCAACTGCAAGTAAGCTCTACAGTGACAAGAAGTACAACACGGCGTGACAATATATCACTGAAATTTAAATTATTTATTTGACAGATGTCTTGTTAAGTGACATTCATCATGATGTAGCATGTGTACCATGTTATATATCTACGTGACCAAATGGTGCATTGTGTTTGTATGACTGTTTAGTTATATGTATGCCCGTAGGAAATGTTACTAGCGACATCTGTAGTCCTAATCAGCTGTATGTCTCTATGCTTAATGGGAAACAGGCGGTATTATATATTCATTAATAATAGACGTTTGATTGCGTTTCGATGTATACAACTAATAAAATGCGTACACAGGTGTACTAGACACGTGGGTTCATAACACACGGTCACTGGTCACAAGGTAGGTGTTAAGTGCATATTTATACCATACATGTATAATTCACAAATTTTATACAAATGTGATCTGATACAAAGATAATGGTGTTTTATTTAAAAAAAATATGAAAAAATCATGAACGTTAGAAAATCAAAGACCAAGAGAGTGAACGTGAATGGTGAATGTTGACTAAAATAAATTCCCGACAATCAATAAAAGTTATTACCGATATAGGATCATTTTGACCATCTATACTGGACTCAAGATATACAACATTTATAATTAAAAACTATATGAAAGCATGCGAGAAAGGAAGCCACGTTCTTTTCCATGCCTTTAATCACGATTCGTAGAGAAAACAATCAATAGTTATGCGAATAAGATGCATATATATTGGAAAACGATTTAACAATTTTACATTTGACATAAACAAAAATGTCGGGAACGTTGGTTACATATACGATATAAGTATTGGAAGCGTTCGTTATGGTATAAATACATTGGTTATATATATATATATATAGATATATACGAAATAAGCTTCAAGCGCGTTCGTTACGATATGTACAGTATAAATTGATACATGCACATATATAAGCGTCAGGCGAGTTCGTTTTGGTATTCATTAATATCTCTCTGGTGAAAAGGAATCGGGAGTATTGCCGTAATATTGCAAATGTTTATTGATTTCAGACCTACGGCATGTATTTAGAATATCAGAGACAGACCGTTATCGTGCATATAGATAACATTGCATACACCAGTTGTATAATAGGTTTATTCAATAAACCCACATATGGTATTTATGTGACAGATAAAGGTAAATGAATGATAATGATAATAAACTATTTCGATAAATCCATCGAAGAAGATCAAAAGGAACAGACTACAGGACGACTTGATAAAGTTGTGTCATATACAACTGAGTTCACATATTTAGATATTTTGCCTTAAATAGGCACCCGCTAAATGAATCGAACATATGACATCTCATGCATATGGCTAACGTGAAAATCTTTACTACCGATCGAACAAGTTCTTTAAAAGAATATTTCTAGAAGTACTTGAGGTATTGAATGAAGTTGGAATCATTAATAATTATTCAGTCGAGCTGAAAACGTTACCACTGGGGGAACAAATTCTTTTAAAAATATTCCTAGAGGTACTTAGGATGTTGAATGAGGTTAGAATAATTCATAATTGTTCAATCGAGCTGAAAATCAAACAGCGTGTCATATTATTCTTTGAAATCAGGGAATTTCCACCAAACGAATTCCACATAAGAGAAAATATTCCTTTCCACCCATCGAATTTCACATCACGAAAGACATTTTTCCGCCAATGGAATTCCACATTACGATAGAGAGTCATTTCCACCAATCAAATTCCACATTACGGAAGAGATTCATTTCTCCCAATCAATTTCCACGTTACGGAAGAGATATTTTTCCACCAATCGAATCCCACAGTACGGCAGAGATCCATTGCCACCAATCGAATTCCACGTTACGATAGAGATAACTTTTTACCAATCGAATTCCGCATTACGGAAGAGATTCATTTCCAGCTATCGAATTCCACATTGCAGAAGAGACCCGTTTCGAAATAAGAAAAAAAAATCGATAATTTCCAAATGAATTTCAAGATAAATCTTTAAGATTTTAGAAGTTTGAAACAGCACTGACGACAATTGAATTAGTCCATCTCGAAAGTCAATAATCGTTATTCCAAAAGGGAATATTTAATTAAAATGTGTTTTATTATCTGTCTATTACATCGTCTGCCAGGATCGCAACTTGTCAGATCGACTATGTTTCCTGGAGGCACAATTCAATGTTTATAATGGCATGACGCGTTTAAGAACGTTGTCAGTAGAAGTAAGCAGATCCCAAGTCTCTAGTCGAGCTCTCTTCGTGTGAGATAATACAATCAGACTTCTGCTATTATCTCATCTTCTCTTATACCAAAGATCAATGCCAATTAGGCGTCAGCTATTTCGTCAAGGAATCGATATCTTCGGATTCAAGATTAAGATATCATCAAACATGCTATTGTTGACGACTATTGTAACTGACCAGGGATACTGTTTGTCTCTTTTTCTCTCTCGTTTTAACAATATCCATCCCTCTAAATGTTTGTCTGTCTCTCTTTATTTGTCTCAATCTTTTTCCGTCTCTCTATTTTCCACTATCTTTAACTGTCCGTCTGTTTGTCTGTCCCTATCCGTTCGTCAGTCTGTCTGCCAGTCGGTCTCGATGTCTGTTTCTGTCTGTATGCCTTTCTTTGACTCTATTCTGCTCTGTCTCTCCTGTCTTTGTCTCTGTTCCTCTGCCTTTATACGACCCGTCTAAATGTCTGTCTTTCTCTCGTTCTTCGTGACTCCAAACTTCTTATCTAAATTATCTTTGTTTCGCTCTACACACACTAATTAAGAAATATGCATTTGATATGCTTCTATGCTTGAGAGGAAACATAATTGAAATGGAAATGTCTTTTAATCGTGTTCCGCAATCTAATGGTGTTTTACAACTGACGTATTTTGAAGATAACTAAGAACTGATAGACAATTATTCAAAGGAAACATTACAATAGTGTTATTTTCATTTCATGTCTTCGCAAACTTTTGTCTGAATTAAATAACAGCCTTTTTCGAACAAGAATTCTTGTAAATTCATACGAATATCAACGTCATGAATACAAATTCTATACTTAGAAGTGGTGGTGCTGGAACTATCACAGATTGCGATTTTAAAGTTTTGTCTCTTTAGAACAAGAAACTGTTGAATGTTTGTACTGTATAGTTAGAACTATTAAATGTAGATGAAATTGTCATTGATTGATATTTTCGATGTACGTACAGTCTTTAGAATAATAAAAATACATTGGTATTGTGATGAATAGACAAACATTGTAGTGCAGTGGTATATATAGAAAATCAAAACATTAACATAGCAAATATGAAATCTCCGCTTTCGTTTTCCGGCCTTGTGGCCATCTTCAGGCGTTTGAATTACGCTACATAGTCAAACGCCAGAAGATGGCCATAAGGCCGGAAAACGTTAGCGGCGATTTCATACTATTTATTTGCCATGCTAATGTTTTGTTTTCTATGTATACGATACACAAAGTTTTTATCTTTTTTGAATTATATATATATGTATATATAGTAAGGACAACATGACACAAATATTACATATGTTATGTAATATTTGTGACTTGACAAAGTGACAGGTTGCATCGAAAATTTGACAATTCGCTTGTCCGTACTGTTGTTATTATGTATTGACTTTTGTTTTTCAGGGCTGTTCCTGTGCACGTGCTGATGTTGGTTGGTATGGTAGGTTTACCTATCACAATGTTTATAATTCCGGCCTGCTCGGCGTTTGCCGGTTTATTAATAGACCTAATGTTAATGGGATGGTGCATGGGCTGTATCGACTGTGTGGCCAATTTGAGGATGATTCGACGATTCGAGACAAACGTTGCGCCATTTTTACAGGTAAAACCAGACATATACTCCATTACATATACAATTAATTTGTATAAAAAAAATTATGATTTAAGATAAAAAAGGCAATTTACAAGGTAATTACAAAATCTATATATCGATTTGATATGGTTATATATGCACGGTGTCTTTTTCCACTCATCAAAAAGCTTGTCGATCATACCTAATAATATCACCTGCTTCATAATTTATAACTATCGTCCAACTGGACACGAGTTAGAACAATAAAGCATTTTTGTTTGGGTTTGTTGTTTTTTTTCATTCTCGATGCGCAAGAAACTTCATCATCATCATCATCATCATCATCATCATCATCATCATCATCATCAATGTCATATCATCTCAACAATGAGACATCATTATTATCAACAAAATGACATCTTTGTAAACACAAAATAAGAATGTCATTACAAGCTTAAAACCATATAACTACACTTCATGTTCACCCACACACTTACAAACAAACAAGAGAGAGAGAGAGGGGGGGAGAGAGAGAGAGAGAGAGAGAGAGAGAGAGAGAGAGAGAGAGAGAGAGAGAGAGAGAGAGAGAGAGAGAGAGAGAGAGAGAGAGAGAGAGAGAGAGAGAGAGAGAGAGAGAGAGAGAGAGAGAGAGAGAGAGAGAGAGAGAGGAGGGGGGGGGGGGGGGAAGAGGCAACATTTTCCACGTGCAGGTAACTACATCTTCAATAAATAAATTTGATAATCGGGTTAAACAGCCAAAATATGGTTACATTAAATATCAATATACCAAAATGATTACAGAAAATACTAAAGCAGATTGTGCTCATAATAACACTAATAATCTATAGATCTAATGCAGGCCTCCATCTTCTCCAATCTAATTCAAATTGCCTTTTAATATGTTCGTTTGACTTATATGTATATTTGGAACATAAACTTATCTCTGAGAACATTTATGAGGGCATTAAGATTCAGAGAGTTACTAAAGCATCTAGTTTTGTATGTATAATATTTGATAATGATTTATATTTCATTATCGACAGAACTACATTGTTGAGAAACTATCCCAAAAAGAAAGGAATCCTTATTGTATGCAAACGGTATTAAAGTACATCCCATAACGTTTCAGATCTCTGGAGAAGCATTTGTACTTCTTTACAATTCCATAAGCAATTTATCATTTTCTCATTTTCCATATGACATAACATACACAAAAGTCTTGGATTTATTTTATAGAGAAAAGTGTTTGTAACTACGATATGATGAAAGATTCTAACTTGAAACCATGATAACTTAGAGTTTTTAGTTATTGTTAAGGAAGTTCATATATTTCTGATCACTTTTCATACCAGAGTAAAACTCTACATTCCATTTTGTATTACCAGAAGGCATTGATATTTGAACTATAATAGACAACCTCCTCTTGAGTGAGTGGTATAAACGGCCGTGAAAGCATCCCTGTCTAAAACGGGAGATTTCTTAAATAACGTTTTATTGATATCACTAATCCAGGTGTTGCAGACAGCTGGTATCAATATAAAAATTTGTAAAAACTCATAAAAAAGGTTAAAATGTCAGATTTTTTTAATCAGATCATTCAATGTTAAAACACCTGCTACAAACCAAGTAAGAAAAAAAAACGAACTAACAATTAACTTTGTTACACCAAAGAGGAATTTTCAGAATACCTTTTTGTCAGCCAAGCCTTACAACATCAAAATTGTTAAGTTATTCCCAGCCTTAAATACATCATTTCAAAATAAGCTGCGGCAGTTGGATCAACACAATTGTATGTATTCCTTTCCACAATCGTACAACTTTTTTGAAAATATATAGTTGACTTGAAGATCCAATTCCATTTGTCAGAGGACCTAAGTAATCTTCTTCTTATCTAACCTAACTTTAAAAAATGGTTGAAAGCATATAAATCAATAATTGTACGTTCACCGTCTCTGTCAAGCCAATTCTTAACGATTTGTTTAAAATGTATTTAAGTAAGAAGTAAGACTGCAGATAAGGTATAAAAAATTATCTTTTTTCCGAAAACACTGTCCAATTCTTGCTAATTTAATTAAAATTTTCCTGATAACAAAGAAACCCTTAAATACACATTATGTTTTCTTCCAAAGACGGTTATTAGCTTTTTATGCTTGGTATACCATTCGGTTAGTGATAAAACTACGGACTTTCGTCGTTTGTATTTGATTAATAAACTTCAAAAGAATCGGGAAGTCATATGATATATATTTGCCTCGGCTAACGACATAGCTTTGGAAACAAGCTGTGCCCTAATGTTGACTGACTTGCTTTTGTCTTGAAACCAGACTGAGGTTATCGAAGAGCTTGTCAAGACAGGCTTCAATGACCTTGTCAAGTCCTTCATCTTCACTTTTAGATATGACATAGTTGACGATAACAAGAAATTGTTTGGTTTAAACGATTTGTTTTAATTCAAACTTTTAACAGTTAGAATTTTAATTACACACACAGAATATGGAACAAAATAATGATAGTAATAACTTTGTCTACCTACTACAGTAAAGGGTATAACAGACTCAATCCTTCCTTACAATCAACAGGGACAGCTTTCCACTAATCGATATGAAAAATGTGGTGGGTTTGAGTTCGCTATTGTAAATGTTCGAGGTACATGTACATTATAAACACGTCCTCAATCAATGGCCGTAGTTGATTCATTTTGGAAGGAATTGTTCCGAGTGTCATGATTTCTGTGACATAGATATCGACAGCTGGCCAACACAACTTGGTACAGGTTTACAAAATACGACAAAGCTTCCAGAACACAAGGTTCAACTCTTCTTGTACTCCTTAAAAATCTTAGTTTATCAACGTCTTTTTGGAAATATTTCGTTTAGTCAGATTTTACCTATTTTTCATAAATTTCGAGTTTGAATAACGTTTCTACGGACATCTTTCTGCCTCTTAAAGAAAAGACACGATTATAACGTAAGTCATTTAGAACTGTTGATCATTGACACATAGAAACTTCGCGAGGTTCATTTTATGTAAAACGTCCTAACACAATACTTCAATATCTTTCTTTTTGAAATACATGTATGTGAATTATTTGGGATCAGACAATATTGATTTAATGAAATAATATTTCCCGTTTTTTTCAGGCTATGCATTTCTTCTATGGTCTTGGTGCGTTTGTGAGTCCAATGATAGCTGCGCCTTTTATACTAAACGTGGACTGTTCAGTATACATAGACGGCGTCACGCTGAAACCTCCAGTCACAGGGGCAGGAGAAAACGACACTATGACGTCAGTTGTCCCGCCAAATCCTCCACGTTTGTCACGTGCCATCAATTTGAGTAATTCCAAAACAGCGTTCCTGATTTTAGGTTCAATTCAGGTAGAGTGAATTTGTAGGCGTTCAATAATGTTCCTTCCCATCCATGAAGAAAAGCGGCCTTAACAATGTCAGTTGTCACATACACCTGTAAATCATTTATATTTCGCGTGGGATTCATTTTCACGTTATTAGAGAATCAATCGCAAATTCAAATCCCTGGCAATTATTTGTACAAAAATAAATCTAGATGGGATCCATGTTGGTTCAGTTACCGATGTCTTGAAGAGTTCATACCTCAAATAGCTCATCGTTCGAGAATTGAAAAGTTATTTCTAGATCAGCGTTCGCGACATCATGTGCTCGCGAATATGTCTGAAGAGATAAGTTCGCAACATAAAGTATTCGCGAAATCTAAGTAATTTACAGTAATAATAATAAAAAACATCATCCAAGGAGAAACAAAAGACCCCGAGTAAATGTTGTAAAAACATGTTATAATTTGGACTTTTCTTTAAATCTATAAACAGTTTTCTTATGTATATGATAATATTGATGGTCTGATAGTAATAACTTGTCTCTTTGAAATTAGCGTGAAATAAATAAGATGGTCGCCTATATTCCTTTGGTCTACCAATCCAGTACTTGTTATAATAGATGTCCGTTTACTAGTGAATTCTAGCAATTTCTCAGAGTGATTGGATGGACAAGCCTATAATCAATATGGCACGTGTCATTTTAGTCTGACTTATTAAGTTGATTACTGTTTACTAATTGAGGTAAGTTAAATGGATATGCTTTAGATAAGTATCACAGTGTTACCCTCTACTATAAGGTACTTTACAATGTAATTTATTGATAATCAGTTCCATTGACTTATCAACAAGTGATAGGTACCAATTTGGGTCTTGAGGTGGCTACCACAACCAATCAGGTTTATTTTTGTATATGAATACCTTTGGATAATGCCATGACATGTCATGGAATTAAGGTCAGTTCACATATCATTCCGAATTATAAAGGAGGAGAGGGATGAAGTGGAAAATCCTATGATTTTCCCATTTTGACAAAATTGAATGTTTGTGGAACATTTCCTCATTATTTTCATGCATCGTGCGATTCCAAAATGTAGATAATTAAAACTGATTGAATAGAAGAATATATTCAAATAGTAAGAAACGATGATCAAGATATGTTTTGCCTAAACACACCTTTATGTTTTAAAATATACCAATTGTTTTGTATAGTATAAAAGCTGAAAAGGTAAGCAATTCTCCGCCCTGACCTTAATTTTATGTCATACCATGATAGCCTAACCCCAAGGTCTTGATATACAATAAAACAAACTAATCGATGTTAGCCATTAGAAGGTCCAAGTTGACACCCATCTAGAAACAGATCCATTTTAGATATTTTTCTATTGTCGATATTTCACTAATTAAACTTCTGTCATCTGATTAGGAAGTCCGGATATATTTTTGTCTTTTAAGAGTACGACAAATCTCCTTGTTAAGTTGGCTTCTACTGTAACACTGTTTTTGTATTTACAGTTAGTTATTACCGTGATCGTGGTTATGGTAGTTGTGCTAGAAAAACAGAGAGTTTTTGGGACTGGTGCTGCTCTGTCACAGTCAAATAGTACAAGGTCCCTGCACTCAGTTTCATCAGACAAAGGTAAGTAACTCTGCTACATAGTAAACAAAATACCAGAGGTTCTACGAGAGAGAGAGAGAGAGAGAGAGAGAGAGAGAGAGAGAGAGAGAGGGGGAGAGAGAGAGAGGGGGGGGGGGGGAGAGAGAGACACATTCAAGCAAATCCTTTTTTTTTAACATTTAAGAGATATTATCATATTTGCTTAATTTCGGATTGCCATATATGAGTAAATCTAAATTAAATTCTCAGAGAAAGGTTGTACCTCTCGTTTTAATAGATTTCGGTTCTGAACGTATAGGGGACAAACACAGAAATAGTAATTAAAGTCTTCACATGGGTTGCCGTATCTTCATTCAGCTGTATTACATTTTGCTCTAAAAGGTGCGTAATCAAGAGATCTGGCAGGATTTCTCAAACGGAAATGAAGTATGTTTAAATTACGTAAATCTCATATCAAAAAGCATTTTTCATGTATCATTTCTGTCTTACTGATAATTGATTTAAATGAATTGAGAGAAGAATAGTTCCTTACATAAATATGTATGTCTTACCACTTTTTTGTTGTTAACGAGAAAAAGAATTTTGCACGCGTAACAGATACACTGGAGTTCTAGTAAATCTAGTAAATGGAAAACAGTGACAATTAAAAAAATTATGTTAAGATTAAATTTCACATCTCAAATTATCAACGACTTAATTTTTTCATTATATTTTAATGATCTCTAACGACACAAAATAGAAAAATATTGTGAAAGTTTCATAATAATGTAATTTTCTTTTTCGGTTGGGAAAAAATGGCAATTGAGGTTTCGATCCAAGCACCTTTGGCGTCAAGAGCGGAGAGCTTACCACTATGCTAACGTTACGTTAACCATTATGAAGTGAAAATTTAGAAATCTTATTACGCATGTAGTATTCTCCAACTACTGAACATATCGTGTGTTTGTGTGGAATGCAAAACATGTGTGAAGAAAAACAAAGATGACAATGATGTGGTCAGTATATTAATGAATAATTATGCTAAAATGGCATCAAGGTCTGCACCCCTACTCTTACACTAAAACTCCCCCAAATAATATACATTTCACAAGTCTCATCTTTTATAGAGGAAAATAAATTCGTTAGTGTTTTTTTTGTAAATGCACGTTAAATGTCATAAGACAGATGACCTGTATTATAGTTTAAGATGACGCCTTCAGTGTGCGTTTCATCTTTTTTATGAAATAAGTATAATCGTTACAAAAGTTCATGTTGTTATCAAACAATGATTACTGGCTAGTCATATATAATTGAATGAAAAACGAAATAGTTCATTGTAACATTTTACTAAGTTGCGATGATAAAACCATAAATAAAAAGTGAAAAGGTTTTAGTAAGTTTGCTTTTCTCGATGTGCCAATCACCAGCAAATTAAAATTCTTCTAGTCCGTGTTAATTATCTAAATAATAGGTAGATCCTAATCAAGCGTATTGCTGAAAAATCGGAAAAAATCCAATTTGCATATATAAACAACTCATTTAAATATGTTGTCAAATTTCGACATAGTGAAGATTAAAAGATTCCCTTTTTAAGCAAAGACACGCCCACCATTGTCCCTTTCGTACGTTTCTTATATTGGTGTCATGGCGTCGTCTTTGTGGTTTTATAGTCATTTGCATGCATGGTGCTGTTTCACTTAAAATTCAATGCAACGAATAAAAGCAACATGTCGAGAGGTATTCATGTTTAAAATTACTACCTACGTCGCACTATTTTCGCGAAAAAGCTAAAGTATGGTGATATTTTGAAGCTATTATGCTCCGGTGTTGCGGATATCTGTCACATATGTTCTATCTACGTTACTTATTCCGTAATACGTAATGATACCGTATAAAATAATAAAATAAAATAAGTTAAACGGAGGTGAATACCGAAATCCATTACCACAATTTACAAAATGCAATGCCCGACATTAGTTCACTGTTTGATATCATTGGAATTCTGAAATGAGTGCATTTGAAATGAACAGATTTTAAACACCGCGATTCGTCCTGTTGTATATATAGAGAATACAAAGGCGTGTTGGTCACGTCTTCAAAAAGAAGCCAAGAGTGATTTTACTGTCAAGCATGGGTTATCACATGAACAAAGCTCCCTCAAAGAGTGTTCCGCTTATGTCTATTTCCAATCGCTTCTACAAGAAATTCGGCCATGCCATGTGTGGTACGGTATAATGAGATTTTCAAACTGTTAGGGTTTCTTGTGAACGCACGTTATTTATGAATATTTATGAATGGATATCCGTTATTGTCTGTGCAAAAAGTAAATCTATATGAGATGTATGATTGCAGCACGTTCTATCTTTAAATTAGTTTATTTAACTTTTAATCAATTGCTGTAAATTGCATTCTGACGATATGATGTATGATCAAGGGGACCGTTAGTATGACTGTCAAGGTAATGTAATTCAGATTGGTCTTCACAGACATGTTTAATATGACTTCGAGAAATTGGCGATCATGACAGGTACTTGTATTCAGCTAATACAAATAGGTTGTTCGGACAGTGAAAGAAAGTCAGAATGCATCGAATGTGTTTAATCTCTAAATCGTAAGTCAAAGCTTATAAAATCGAATGTGTTCCATCTCTTAAAAGTAAGTATAAACTTCGTTATTCGTATGTATTTTATCTCTAAAACGTAAATCTAAAAATAGTAATTCAGATAAGTTCTATCCCAGAAACGTAGTATAAATACAATTATTTGGATGTGTTCTACTTCTAAAATATCAAATGTATCTTTATACTTTGGCGTATGTAGCGATGAATTATCAATATCGTATATGTACATCTATTACTTTGTGTACTATGTGTTTAACAAAAATTTAGATTATCGTTGTCAATATAGACTAGTGGATTTAACGACATAAAGAAATACGTACATTTTGGTGTTTGTTTAACATTGCTTAATATACAAAGGTTGAGTGTACCCTTCGCCATTGTGCCAACAGGTCATAGCATGGAAGGCAGAAATAGTTTTTCTTTATCTTTTTTTACTTTTTTAGGAATCCTTGGGGACAAAACTGAAAGTTGAATAAAACCCACAAAAATTGCATTGATAGTTTTTTTAAATAGTCATTTCGCACAGTGTATATCTCATTTTATATTAAAAATCTTTAAGGGTAGCCGAATCGACTCACCAATTTCATCACTTAGTTTATGACGAGGTTCATCAATCTTATTTATGTATGCTTAATATACTTTTTATCGCCGAATTAAATTTAATAAAAATATTACGGAAAACTGACCTTTTGCTCTAGTAAGTACTTTCTCCGTGATGTCAATATAAAATAATGCAAATGTGTCGTCAGGATAGGTCACATGACTCAAGTTCGTATGGTAACATGACACTGAAACTTCCACAATAGCCTGATAAAACTTTTCCAAACTTAGGAAATTATTGTCCTATATGAAATATCGAACTTTATTTAATGAGACAGGTGGTAGAATGTAGCTACCTATCATTTGATTTTATAGTTGTTTTCATTTTTTCCAGACCTAAATGACATTTCCGGAGAAGGTGTGATTGCGAGGTGTTTCTATTGTGGCACACGTGAAATGTTACTCGTTACAGCTATAACATCTATATTGTTATTCATATTCGACGGTTTGCAGGTGAATTTCACACGTGATATATTCAGATAAATCAAAAACAATTCTGGTGTCTTCTAACATTGATTAACTTCGATATTTGTTTTTAACTTTCTTAACGAGAGAAGAATTCTAGGTGCAAAAAGCAATGCGATGGATACTGTTACCTATATTTTCAAATGTTTTATCGTTTCTATTTTCCTGTTACTAAATTTGATTGGTGAGGATGAAAAGGTTAGCAATATGTGAATATGAGGCAAGTGTTATACGTGTTGAAAGTATGGTATTTAAAAATGCAATCCTACTTCCCATTTGCATTGACATTACGAAGTCAGTAAAGGAAAGTGATAATAAAATTACTTTTGTTTAAATTTTTGGATTATTAAATTTGTAGAAGTAATGAGTTGCTTTTTAGGTCAAATTTCACAGTAAATGTTATTTGCTTTCAGTCATCGTATGCAGACTATATCTACTCTTATTCAGAAAAGAATGTGAGTGGTATTAAGAAAGGAGAAGGAGCCGTTTTAAACGCATGTTTTTGGGTAAGACGAGCACGTGAATGTCAAGGTCATTTCCTAATGTATAAATGATTTCGATCTAAAGTTATATATGTACAGTATAGTTTGTTGTATAAAATAAACACAAACCATAAAGATTACATTCTAAAGGCAGATTCATTCAAAATAAAAACTAATCTCTCAACACATACAGCACACAGACACTAAGCAATGACGTCACCTCACAAACGCAATATTTACAGTAGATAGACTTTATAGGACAAACTAAACCACATCTCCAACAAACAGAGATAACATATCAGGAGGGTAAAATATGCAAAAACGTCATTTGACAGAAATAAAATATACAATGGTTTTAACTCGCACGGACAAAAATGCCAAAAATGTGTCAGCAGCCAAAGATAAAACGCATGCTACCATCACACCAGAAAGCTATAGATATCCATGTTATCGACAGAACATGAAAACATAATTAGGTCAATCCACGAAGACATTAAAACCCAGTTGTCGTTAATACAAATTACACAAGTATAGGACACACTATGATGTTAATTAATTCAAGCACAATAATACACTTGTTCTTCAACTTACCATAAACAAACATACGAAAAAATCAAAACACTGTGATATAATATTATCGCGGTGTTTTATCATGTTGATTGCTTCCTGTAGATATATGTTGACGTTCCTGTTGCAGGGCCTGTTTGCCTTGGGTCGGCTTTTGTCTATCGGGATAGCCACTCGATTTACGCCGGCTTTCATGCTGCTTTGTAATCTAGTAAGTAGTCTTTATCTATATCGCAGCAACAATAGAATCAATGTGTATTTCTAATGGGAGCGACATGCATTCCTGTTCAAATCATAGCTTTTAGGTCAAATGGTACAAATCTGACCGTGACCTATATTGCGATCGCCTATTGTTCGACGTCGTACATGTACGTCGTGCAGTGTGCGTCGTGTGTTTGTAAATATTTTACATTTTCAATATCTTCTGGAACACCCATGAACTGATTTCAACAAAATTTTGCAGAAATCGTCCATGATCAAGAATGAACCAAAATTGGGAAATATATGATCCCCGTTTCCGAGGGGCCCTAGGGGCGGGACCAAAAGTGGTCCAATTCACTCATTTTTCGAATATTTTCTTCTCAACGCTCAAATATGTTCACATGTTCATTTTGGGGAAAAGGACTTTTAAGGTAATCTGCCAAACTTGTGAAATTCATTACCCCAGGGTCTCAAATTACACTCTAGTAAGGGGGTTTCATTTTGCTATAGTTAATAAGAAATTGCATTTTGTGCATAATTTGCTTAATTTCCATTGCAAATATTTCAAAATAGGCAAGCATTATTAGTTTAGGATAACAATTATGGTATACCTTTAAACTGATCCTGGCTGAAACTCAAAAACTGGGGGTCAAATTGACCCATATTTCATGTTTTGCCCCCATCACTCAAATATGGTAGAATCAAATGCACTTCATGGATGTAAGATGCGGTACAAAATAGTGTGCGTTCCTTATCATTGAAATCTTTCTAATGATGACAAAACAACAATGCCTCTCCTCATGTTTCATATCGTTCCTGAAATCATATCATCTTACTATCATCTCTATCACGATTTATTTCTTTTTTATGACACTTGAAAACTACTTACCCTAATAATAATCATATTCAGTATTCTTTACCTCAGGTGAATGTCAATACCGCTAGGCTCTTTGTTTCCCTAACTTGAGAACAGAAAAAAGTTAAAACAGACAAACCCTATTTGCAGTGCCAGAAATCATTACCACGACAGCAACGTCTTGTTGAAGTGGCGATCTATTTTATTCTGAAGCTCTCTTTTCAAGCCCGTGACGTCACATAGCTGCTTCACTCTGAAGCTCTCATCCCAGGATGTCTTGCGTCTACTCCACTCTGAAGTTCGCTTTCCAACCTCATCACGCCACACGCCCACTTCACTCTGAAGTCCTCTTCTCAACCCCGTGACGTCATGTGTCACTTTCTCCTGAACTTGTTCTCATCCCTTAATTAGGGTATTTCGTACATAGAGAAATGTCAACACAATGTCTTGTTTTAGAGACAAAATGTCATTCTAAGATAGATTTTTGTATATACATTAAATTAAATATCATGCTTACTCAGAGGTAGGGTAACCCAATATAACATTAACGGGTAAATTTCATTGACGTGAATATTTCCATTACCTTACGCGTAAGACGTAGATGGTGCATAGTGATAGATTTAGGGGGAGTGTTGCTTTATAATGTAGCGTTAGGGGCTATATAGTAGAGAGTATCAGAGAGTGTGTTAGCTTTTGGTGCGGTGTTAATTAGCCTTAGGAGTGGTGTTAGAGGAATGGCAGCCTTAGGAGTGGTTTTAGAGGAATGACAGCCGTAGGAGTGGTGTTACAGGAATGAAAGCCTTAGGAGTGGTGTTAGAGGAATGACAGCCTTAGGAGTGGTGTTAGAGGAATGATATCCTATAGGAGTGGTTTTAAAGGAATGACAGTCTTAGGAGTGGTTTTAGAGGAATGACAGCCTTAGGAGTGTTGTAAGAGGAATGACAGCCTTAGGAGTGGTGTAAGAGGAATGACAGCCTAAGGAGTGGTTTTAGAGGAATGACAGCCTTAGGAGTGGTTTTAAGGGAATGACAGTCTTAGGAGTGGTTTTAGAGGAATGACAGCCTTAGGAGTGTTGTAAGAGGAATGACAGCCTTAGAAGTGGTGTAAGAGGAATGACATCCCAAGGAGTGGTGTAAGAGGAATGACAGTCTTAGGAGTGGTGTAAGAGGAATGACAGTCTTAGGAGTGGTGTAAGAGGAATGACAGCCTTAGGAGTGGTGTAAGAGGAATGACAGCCTTAGGAGTGGTGTAAGAGGAATGACAGCCTTAGGAGTGGTGTTAGAGGAATGACAGCCTTAGGAGTGGTTTTAGAGGAATGGCAGCCGTAGGAGTGGTGTTACAGGAATGAAAGCCTTGGGAGTGGTGTAAGAGGAATGACAGCCTAAGGAGTGGTTTTAGAGGAATGACAGCCTTAGGAGTGGTTTTAGAGGAATGACAGCCTTAGGAGTGGTGTTAGAGGAATGACAGCCTTAGGAGTGGTTTTAGAGGAATGACAGCCTTAGGAGTGGTGTTAGAGGAATGACAGCCTTAGGAGTGGTGTTAGAGGAATGACAGCCTTAGGAGTGGTTTTAGAGGAATGACAGCCTTAGGAGTGGTTTTAGAGGAATGACAGCCTTAGGAGTGGTTTTAGAGGAATGACAGCCTTAGGAGTGGTGTTAGAGGAATGACAGCCTTAGGAGTGGTGTTAGAGGAATGACAGCCTTAGGAGTGGTGTAAGAGGAATGACAGCCCAAGGAGTGGTGTAAGAGGAATGACAGTCTTAGGAGTGGTGTAAGAGGAATGGCAGTCTTAGGAGTGGTGTAAGAGGAATGACAGCCTTAGGAGTGTTGTAAGAGGAATGACAGCCTTAGGAGTGGTGTAAGAGGAATGACAGCCTAAGGAGTGGTTTTAGAGGAATGACAGCCTTAGGAGTGGTTTTAGAGGAATGACAGCCTTAGGAGTGGTGTAAGAGGAATGACAGTCTTAGGAGTGGTGTAAGAGGAATGACAGCCTAAAGAGTGGTTTTAGAGGAATGGCAGCCGTAGGAGTGGTGTTACAGGAATGAAAGCCTTGGGAGTGGTGTAAGAGGAATGACAGCCTAAGGAGTGGTTTTAGAGGAATGACAGCCTTAGGAGTGGTGTTAGAGGAATGACAGCCTTAGGAGTGTTGTAAGATGAATGACAGCCCAAGGAGTGGTTTTAGAGGAATGACAGCCTTAGGAGTGGTGATAGAGGAATGACAGCCTTAGGAGTGGTGTAACAGGAATGACAGCCTTAGGAGTGATGTTAGAGGAATGACAGCCTTAGAAGTGATGCTACAGGAATGACAGCCTTAGGAGTGGTTTTAGAGGAATTACAGCTTTAGAACCGGTGTTAGCGGGAGTGTAAGGCGTTGGAGCAATGGTAGCGGAAATATTAGTTCTTCAGTGAAGGCAGTGAAAGTTTCATGATATGTTAATTATTTAGAACGATATTGTAATAAGGTCAAATATTGCTGCAGATCGCTGCTACGGACATGTTAAGATATTATGACGTTTAGAGGGCTGTTCGAACAATCTCCAAACAACTTCGTATGCAATTTGTGATGTCATTAGTCAAATTCATATATTTTTCTTTAGAGAGATTTTCCGTTCAATATCACGCAGCACAAGTATCTGATTTCTTGCCGTTCTCTAGTTTAGAATGTTGGACACGATTTCGAACAAGTGTTGAATTACACTCGATCGAGGTTTTTGATATCATAAAATGATATGACGTAGAAGACCGGCGGGAATAGATAAAAATAATTCAGATGTCATTATAAACCAGGCCAAATGCCGAGTGTAATTTAAAACGCAGACCCTCAAGAAGATTGAACCATTAGATTACGGGTTTTATTACGTAATAAAACTATCAAAATTTTCTGTTTCTTTTTAACTCCCTATCATCAGGTAGTTGATGTTTGAGAAAATAAAGAATACGGAGTGCATCAACGTTAGAAGATTTAATGATAGGCGGTTTTTTGTATAAATTTTGGATCATGTTTCTCCGGGAAAGAAATTTCTTAGAATTTTTGTTTTTTTCTTATAGTACATCATGCTTCATGATTCAATATAACAGTTTTGCTAATGTTATAATAGCATCATAGAGTGATTCATTTCCAGAAAAAAGTCACCGGCTCTTTTGTCGAATCATGTTTCCTTGATAAATTAAATCCACAGTTACGAAACCCAAAATATTGACGAGAAGTGTGAGGCATTATTCACTACCCCACTGAGTCGCTCTAGTTATACCAAATATAATAAACATTTTGAAACTGGAATAGAAGTTTTTTTATAACACAACCAGTAGAAGATTAGAGTGTAATGTTTCGATGACTACATGGTTACCTCCATCTTATAACACAACCAGTAGAAGATTAGAGTGTGACGTGTCGATGACTACACGGTCACCTTCATCAGAAAAATGACCAGTGTGGAGGGTACCAGCATTGGCGTACGTGGTGTAGGAGACCAACGTTTTCGGCTATGTACACCGAGGTCAAAACAAGACATGTTTATTTACACATAGGATCCAGCACATCCTTGCTTAGTATGGAGCTATCTTATTGGTATGTTGTACCTTCAGGTTTAGGCATTGGTTTCCTTGTTGATAGTTGACATTTAGTTTCGAGGTTTGGCGTTACTTTCATGTCACGTTTACATTAATAAAGAAAAAAACGTGGCACGGATCAGAATATCGTATGACGTTATTCTGAAATATCAGAATTTTATCGAATTTTGGGGCGAATGCACCTACCCATCTTCTATCATTTTTAGATTGCATCAATAGCCTCTAGGTTTCAAAATTAGACCTTTATTATTACTGACGATTCCTAGTAGGACGAAACAGATGTGTGATGTAGCATCACTGACGATTTCTAGTAGGACGAAACAGCTGTGTGATGTAGCATCACTGACGATTTCTAGTAGGACGAAACAGCTGTATGGTGTAGCTTTACTGACGATTCCTAATAGAACGGAACAGTTGTATGATGTAGCATCACTGACGATTCCTAGTAGGACGAAACAGCTGTATGATGTAGCATCACTGACGATTCCTAGTAGGACGAAACAGCTGTATGATGTAGCATCACTGACGATTCCTAGTAGGACGAAACAGCTGTATGATGTAGCATCACTGACGATTCCTAGTAGGACGAAACAGCTGTATGATGTAGCATCACTGACGATTCCTAGTAGGACGAAACAGCTGTATGATGTAGCATCACCGACGATTCCTAGTAGGACGAAACAGCTGTATGATGCAGTTTATTGATCTACTGCAGTCATCCTTCAGTATTACAATACCTGGTTCGTATTTAGATAATGGAGACATCTTTTACATTGGATTCCTCGACTTCACAAGAATCAATATAAAGAGCATTTTATTGTTGACTAGTCTAGTTGTGCAACCAAACCTTTGTCATAACATCTTACAACAATGGTTGTCACTATCACTGTATCATGATACTGTTTACTAACGACATGGAATTCATGGTATGTGGATTTTAAAGAAACTCCTGTGGGCTTTTGGCAAACCTTCAATACATTCTTTGAAATAAAATATAGAATATTTAGTTTTCGGCTCTGTGCATCACCTTATCCCATTCTGGACTGAGGGAACACCTTCGTTCTCGAATTATTCCAAGCATGGTGAACGACAGTAGAGATATATCGCTGTGAACTATGCTGAAGTGTGTTATGTGAAAAGTACGTCCAAATCTGGGAGAAGATATGCAGAGGTCTTAAGGGAGGTCTAATTTCTGACGATATAGTGTCTTCGTCTGGTTTGGTAATGTCATCTTCCAGCGCACTTTTAGCATGCATCTGGGGACAAACAGCTCTTCACTGACATGATTTGTTTTCATTGGCTGACTTTGATCAAACCTAGCGAAGTCCTTGAATCTACCCTACCTTGTTTCCATCAGAAAACGTGGCATTACTGACCGGGATTGCCCAAGATTTGTATCGAATATCGTCAGTGAAGTAGATGACGCTTTGCCAACACCTGGTCTTATTTGCCTTGGATTTGTTTAGGAGTATTTATTTTGTTCATCTGGTTATATGTGATTAGATCTCTTGAAGCGTGAAAATCGGCGCTGATCAATCAGAGCGAGTTTGTTGAGCTATACGATCTGGTGACATTGATACTTGGGACAAACATTTTATATAACTCTCCTTTGATTGTTTTACAGGTAGGAACTGGTATAGCCTTGCTTTTGACGTTAATCTGTCGCACTGATCACACAGTCGTGTACGTGGGCACGTGCATCGTTGGCCTATTCATCAGTAGCATGTCACCTTCGTGCATGTCAATGGCGGAACAATATATAAAAATTACCCGTAAGTATGAAAAATTACCCGTAAGTATAAAACCGACTATTTGTTTGTTTGACAAGGATGTGTTATTGGCACGGGACCATGAAATGCCACTCCTGTTTATAACAATGCGAATTACGTTATATGATCATGTTATGGAAATAGCTACACGCAAGAATTCTCAGTTCTGATCGTACGGTATAAGTGTCTGAATAAGCTAGCCAATTGCTTCTAAGTCGGAGCAGTGTGTGGTTAGATTAACTGTTATGACCGCGTTTAAATAATAGCATAATTCTAAAATGTGTGTCTGAAGAGGTTTTTATTCCAGCGAAGGATACGAGAAATAAACCATTATTTTTTTTCGTTATTGGTTTTTAGATCTTTCTTTTGGAGACAAAATTTTAAACAGAGTGAAAATAACTTTAACACAGGATCTTCTCAGCATACTACACGTATAAATATTTATCTTTATTATCATGTCAAAGCAGTTCTTACATTTTAATTTCTATTAATTATTTGTAAGTGGCTTTTAATAATGATAATTGCGTTAATCAAGTCTGATTCCATGTCAAATCAGGCCACAAATACCTTGCAAAGTCGTTAAATGTCACTTTCAGACTTGTCTTTAAATAACGAGATATTTATTTCCTACGTTTATCATATATGTATCCATCAGCATTCGAAATCAAAGATATGGCAGACTCTTCTACATCAGTTACTTATTCCGATATTATCCTACACCGAAACCAACATGAACAGCTTTTCACCAAGCTGTTTGATAAGGGTAATCCGTTTAATTTCCCTATTGTGAATTTTCCATTTCTGAATAGCAATATCCCTGCATCCTCAACCTGCGTAGAAATCTTTCTTTTGTTCATATTTTGCTTTTGTTTTATTTCAGTTGAGCGTGGATTATGATTATGTTGACATGTAGATATTCTCTTACTACTTTCGTTAACATATATTGTGTTATTATGGTAATTTTTTGCCTGTCATCCATCCATCCATCCATCCATCCATCCATCCATCTGTTTAACGTTTTTTCCCACACTATTCCATCAGAACGTCGTCCAACAGATATGGGTGAGTTTTAATATTTGACAAATCTAGTATGAATTTGTGAGTGCACAACGACTACATTGGTAAAAGAATTCCGGATAACTCACTTGGTTGGTGGAATCAAATAAAAGACTGATGTCAATTTCTAGGATTGGTTCCGTGGGTGCCACAAAGTTTCATTAATATCTGAAACGTCTGTGATGTTGACAGTTAGAGCTCGAGGGATTATTTTCACTGTCTGATCTAATGCCTGTATTCCCCTTTGGGTGAAGGGTCTGCATGTAATGTCTTTATCAATAAGATTTCTCCTGTTTTAGCTGATAATTCCTTGTCCACGAGGTCTAAATTATCTTGCCACTTCGATTTTGTGTGTCAAAATATGAAATAACGGCACTTGTCGATGCAATCATTATTGGGAGTCAGGAAAATTTCATGACGTAAGCGGATGTGAGCTGTCTTTCTCTGTCTGGAAGAAAATGTATATAAAATTACATGTATGCCCTTGTATTTTCGTTGTTGTCTGGAATATGTATGTATCTGTACGTTTATTGTTGAAAGTCTAAAGAAATGAAAAGTACTCGGCACGGTGATGAAAAGCACTCGGCACGGTGAGGGACCTTCTGGTTGTAATGCTGGTAATTTGTTACATGTTGGGGTGTAATTTGTGCCGTGTCTCTTCATATGTTTCTTTAAATATCCTCTTATAACTCAAAGTCAATTAAGTAGGTTAATTCAAAAACCGATGTCATTTTATTTTTATCAATCATAAAATATTTGAAATAGAAATAAATATCCAAAAGCAATTCAGAAGTCATGTGTTACTTTCAGTAAACTAAGTGTACATATGAATCTAAAGACGATAAACAAAAACCTTGAAATGTTTTTTTTATGGGTGATAAAAGTTGTTTTCGATTTATAGTTATATAAAGCCATTTTCTATAGAGATTTACAATATACATTTATACAATATTTCAAAATTTTTATACATATCATATCATTTTTACAATTGTTACTCGTTTATTGTAAATCACTCAGAATAATTATCTGCAGATCACGTGTAGTTCTTCCGATTGAAACAATGAAGCACAAGATGAGTTTGAGGCGTATACTATTAGTTTCTAATACATTTGTTTTATTTGCAGCATTAAGTTTTTCAACAACACATGAAACAGAATTTTTTCACATTGTGTTCCCGTCACCTCCTGTGGCATTAATTCTTCTTACAACATTTCCGACGGATAAATCCTATTTATCGACCTGAATGACATTTTCGGGAGTGATTTAAGCTCAGTATTCATTACGACTGTGACTTCATCCTTTTTCCAGCGACGAAGGCACGAAGTCGTTCCCGGGCAATCAAAAGTCGTGTGTGAGGGCAACCATTCTGGGTTATTAAAACAAAGTAGCTTGCGCAATCACGGCAAATTGTAGGAAATTGATTTGAATCCCGCTCCAGACAGTGACGACGTAATTATTTGTTTGGAATGATAGCAATTGCCTGGCAATCTAAATGTACTCAATAAAAATGCGAGTTTTCTCATTGGATTTGTTGACATTAAAAAAAAAAAAAGTAGAAAGGATTTTGTCCCTTAATCACATTTGCTTTGAACAAGCTCAGTATTCATTTTGTTTTGAATATCAAGTGACCATTGAGATTGGTTTAAATATTTTCTCTTTTCTCCCGAATAAGGCAAATCCGGAAGAATAAATTTAATTGATTTTATGCTTGTGTCTACTTGATATTTAGTACAAAATGTTAATTAAGTATTAACCATTCTGCCATTTACTTTTTAATATACGATTTAATTAATCGGTCACTTTTTTATATTAAGTCTAAGCTCTTTACCAGGAATAAATAATTGATAACATCATTATCTTCGAATACATCGTGTTGTAATCACTCACTCTAACCCTAACCCTAACCCTAGCTCGTTAGTTTTTATGGTACTCTCCTACACATGCCGAAAATGATATCTGGATCCGGGATTGGTATTTTAACGAAAGCTGGAATTTTCTTTTTTGAAATAAAATGTATCTTATATTACAGAATATTTGCTTTTGATTTGCAGCATCTGTTGCCTCCTGTCTTGTGGTATGTGCAGCCTTGGGAGAGACTCTTTGTCCAGTCATTGTTGGTAATGTAAGTAATTACGACATCCGTTCTTCTAATGTTGATGTTCACTGTATACATACACGGAACATATACTATTGTGATGGTATTATCTCAATATAGTCTTCCCCGGAGTAATAATACTTTGTGGGCCATGCTTACAGTTAGCAGAAGATGAAGAATTATTCTTATATAACAAGTATCACTAATAGTTTGTTTGTTTGTTTTGAAATATGAAATTAATTTTATAAAACAAAACAAAATGGTGTATCAGTAATTGATTTCTGTTATTTTCTGCAGCTGTTTGTGTCGTTTGGACCGCCGAGTTTCTTGGTATTCTGCCTAGTCATCGTATTAATTGCCATGTTGTTTTATTGGGGTCTGTATGCCATAGGACGTGGCACACATAAATATCAAGGTATGAAACATCAACTACATTTCCCGGATAAAAACAAGAACATGATTGTATACAAAACAGATATGATCAATCTTTCCGAGTCTTAAGAGATGAATTTCTTGAAATAAAAATCAATAAAAAATAGATAAATAAATAAATAAAAAAGAAGAAAAAAAAGATGAATTGATAAATAAAAATAAATAAAGATAAAAAAAATAAATATATATAATGTCTTTACATTGACGTAAGAAAACATCATTCATTTATCAATTTATCAAAATCAGTTGTGATATTTAGAAAATATTGATTTCCATTTTTTTAAATGTTAGAATGTGAAAGGAGCATATTTTGGAATGATAATTTTGTTTCCACCAAATCATATTTATATATTTCTTGTATCTTTGTTAAGAACACGGTATGGATTCATTCTTGTGGATGCCGGGTTATAAAAGACGTAAAGGAGGGGAGAACACTCTCATCAAACCTGCCGCAGTAAAATACTATTCTCAAATGACAGAGGATGGACTAGCAGAAGCCACGGACAAGATGGAACTGGATCCGGTCACGAGACCATCAACAAATTATGATACCAAGAGTTATCTCCCTGACACAACCATGAACGACATGCACGGATAATTACAACTAACGGGGAACTTAATGGAAACATTCCAAATTATATCATCTCTCATACCATTGATTTTAAACACCATTTATCTAGAGAAATTAATATATCTTTAAAAATTAGATAATTTATTTGTCATATACGGAATAATATAAAGATAGAAAAGACATATACAATATTTATCTTATAATATTAAATTTGGAAAATATCTTTCCACTATTAACTGATGTTGACAGGGAAACATTATAAAACGCCTCGTGTCAATGTATCATTGTTTAATCAGAGATTTAAATTATAAATTCAACTCTTTATCTGTGTTCTTGTTACATCGGTTAAAGGAAAACCGGAGTTGTCTTTCTTGGTATAGATATGCTTTATTTGTTCTGTGTTATATTTGTTTAGTGTTTTGTTCTGTTTTATATTTCGTTCTTTTTAAAAATTTCTTCCGTGTCTTTAATAGAGATGATTTGTTGGCTTTCTGTGATAATTGCTCTTTTAAAAGGTTATTTTTTATATAATGTAAATCGCATTTCTTTCGTTTACATTACATTTTTTCCAAACTCAAATCGCGAATACTGGAATTCCTTTCCATTCTCTCTGGCTACATACTACTAGGAATAACACGCTATATTCAAATCTATATATTTATTTCTCGGGAAATTCGGGTCATTTTCATTCGATCACTCCTAATCATGAATGAACGCTTTTTAATCAAAACATTTCAAAAGTATCAATTATAAAGCTTATTTTACTAAGTAAAACAACGTACATCGTAAAAAAAATATTTCTTTATATTCCTGTATGACTTTGAGCCCACTGCTTTGTGATTAATAAGCTAAATGTTTTAGTACATATCTTTAAAAGAGTGGACTTTGATTTTTATAGCCATGAATGGCCTTCGCCTCATGGTTATGTCGTTATCACCATGACTTCAAATATTAGCGGTCCGTCTATGATACTAGACTGGGCGTGGCCTGTTTAGTTACAATACTAGACTGGGCGTGGCCTGTTTAGTTACAATACTAGACTGGGCGTGGCCTGTTTAGTTATAATACTAGTCTGGGTGTGGCTTGTTTAGTTACATCGCTGTGCTTCAACTAGAGGCAATTACTTGTTATTGATATGCGAGAAGATGTAGAGTGTGATTTGTTATTTGTTTGTGTTATATAAATTGGCCACTATTGTAAATCTGTTTTCACGCTCATGTACCCATATTTATAATTCATACACATTGTGTGTCATCTATTTCTTGAAGTTTTGAAATGTTTTCCGCCATTGTTAAATTGTATGCAGAGGGAAGACTATATATATATATATATATGTTACCAAATAACCTTATATCTAGATCTAGTGAGAATCCATTACTTTATAGATCATTGTTAATACTGGTTGATTCTTTCATGTTGCTTTTTCATAATTCGAAATGTAGAAAGAATTTTATAAATCGTTGACCTGGTATCATGAGCGAGATGAGATTTAACACTTTTTTAAGACATGCATACATTTATTACATTGAAAGTAGGTCACTGTTGACTCATATTTATGAAAAATATATTACAAATGGATTTCTGCGAAAATGTTAATAATTGTATTGCTGTAATTCTGGTAAATACTAGCCATAATATACTGGTCGGCTAGAGAGAACTTTAGCTCGATCTGTTGAGCATCAGACTAGTACGCCAATGGTCCCGGGTTCGAATCTTAGCTGCGGCATTGAAATAAATTATGACCTCTGTTACATTGGCGCCCATGTTGGGACTAGGGAATAATATTCAGCGATTCTTGTGACCCCCGGAAACTCGGGGACGAGTTATTCCCTGGTAAAATACTAGCCGCATTATACCGCTCGGCTAAAGAGAAATCCTCTTAAGCTCGAACGATTGAGCGTCAGACTAGTACGCCAGGGGTCCCGGGTTCGAATCCTAGCGGAGGTATTTAAATTGATAATGACGATGTACTTTCATGTCGTCTGTTGTTAGACTTTGTTACATTTTACCTATAATTTTATTGCATCTATCTCATTGGAATGTTTCGCTTAACTCTTTACTGACGCAATATGTATGGATCGCTATCGATTAGTTGCCAGGATATGGCATAAAGGGGGAATATATTCTATAGAAAATACTATTTTTACACTATGTTTAATGTAGTAATAATATTTTAATGCCATGTTATGCATGATTTCAATACGATATTGAAAATGATTTGAGAAAAAATGCCCCTCAGTATTTTCATGACTTAAGACAATATTCCCAAAAGTGTTACCTTATTCCTGTTTCGTTTTCCCACCATCTTATCCCATCATACTTTTAAGTAATTATCATAAAATTCCCGTATATGTTTCCCACCATATTCTTACGTATTGATTTTTATTCTTTATACAATATACACAAGTTTCTCACATTTCTTTAACAATGGTTCGTTAAGTCTTAACAACGGTATCCTTTCACCTTTTCCTTTAATGTGGCCTGTGTTATAAATACAATATTCCCTTTAAGGTTTTGCCGCATTGTGCAATAATGTCATATCTGTTTATTTATTAAGTCTTTCAGGCTCCGCATCGAATAAATTCATCATGACGTCATACCCTGATTTATTTGTTTTTAAATATTCTTCTTGCCTGTCTGTTCAGAGATTTTACAGGAGTAAAATAAATATGAAATAACGAGCCTTGCCTTTCACCAAGACATAGACTATGAAAAATGAAAAATATTGTTATGGGTCAGTCAAATCGCATAAAAAGGGAGACGAATTTAAGATTATGTTTATCATGTAACCTACACACTACTGAAAAAGAATATTTAAAGATCTCAGTATATATATATATGTCTTTTCCCTTTGATGACGTCACAAGGAATATTTCGCCATGATGGAAATATGATGTCACAACAAAAACTTTCAGAAAATCACATTCTTCGAAATCATATTTCACGTGTGAAATAACAAAAAAAAACATTTAAAGAGTGTTACTATACTGTCCACAGCATGCAGTGAATGGCTGTAATTTGTGATTGTGCTACAATAATATAAAACTACTGCGTTTTCTGTGAATTATCTTTAAATACATACCATTTTCCCGTGGTCTAACAGGCAGTGTTCTGTACAATCTGATTTTATTAGACCAAATCTAATCCTAATATAACAGTTACGGTTTAACCCTATTGTTACAGCTTCTGAAATTAGCTTTCTCACTTGTCAACAAATTCCAACGAGTTTACCATGTTCACTAGTGATAGTTGTATGTTACAAATAATACCGCCTCCTTTCAAAACCGTATTGCGCATGCATACTATCGTCATAAGACAAGCAAGTATTATACTAAAAACTTACAAATGCGTTCTGTCTAGGTGCTCCTGACACTATTCAGATTAAGATTAGCATCTATCACGAACTAGCATGGAACTTTACATCTGACACAAATTTCTCTAAATTCGGTAATTTGGTACTTTAATTTCGTTTATAGAATAATACAGAGGACAAGCAAACATAAATCTTTTTGTCAAAGTAAGTTAACGATGATATGGACAAAACATGTGGCAATCTTGTTAAAGACGATGGCTGTTTAAACGGTCTCAGCCGTTCACATTAAGTTGATATATAATCACAACACACTTTTTTCTCGTCGATTTATATTAAATATTTAAACTTCATAAAAGTGCAAATATTTTTGAGAGTGGTACACCTCAACAAAACAACCGATAATTTTTGAATCAGAAACTTACATCAAAAAAAACCGATACGGAAAATCAGAAACTTACACCTCAACAAAACAACCGATAAAGACGGAAAATATCAGAAACTTACACCTCAACAAAACAACCGATAAAGACGGAAAATATCAGAAACTTACACCTCAACAAAACAACCGATAAAGACGGAATCAGAAACTTACACCTCAACAAAACAACCGATACAGACGGAAAATATCAGAAACTTACACCTCAACAAAACAACCGATAAAGACGGAAAATATCAGAAACTTACACCTCAACAAAACAACCGATACAGACGGAATCAGAAACTTACACCTCAACAAAACAACCGATACAGACGGAAAATATCAGAATCAGAAAAACTTACGGAATCAGAAACCTCAACAAAACAACCGATACAGACGGAATCAGAAACTTACACCTCAACAAAACAACCGATAAAGACGGAAAATATCAGAAACTTACACCTCAACAAAAAACAACCGATACAGACGGAATCAGAAACTTACACCTCAACAAAACAACCGATACAGACGGAATCAGAAACTTACACCTCAACAAAACAACCGATACAGACGGAATCAGAAACTTACACCTCAACAAAACAACCGATACAGACGGAATCAGAAACTTACACCTCAACAAAACAACCGATACAGAGGGAATCAGAAACTTACATCTCAACAAAACAGCCGATATAGACGGAAAATATCATAAACTTACACCTCAACAAAACAACCGATACAGACGGAATCAGAAACTTACACCTCAACAAAACAACCGATAAAGACGGAAAATATCAGAAACTTACACCTCAACAAAAAAAACCGATACAGACGGAATCAGAAACTTACACCTCAACAAAACAACCGATATAGACGGAATCAGAAACTTACACCTCAACAAAACAACCGATAAAGACGGAATCAGAAACTTACACCTCAACAAAACAACCGATACAGACGGAATCAGAAACTTACACCTCAACAAAACAACCGATACAGACGGAATCAGAAACTTACACCTCAACAAAACAACCGATAAAGACGGAAAATATCAGAAACTTACACCTCAACAAAACAACCGATACAGACGGAATCAGAAACTTACACCTCAACAAAACAACCGATACAGACGGAATCAGAAACTTACACCTCAACAAAACAACCGATACAAACGGAAAATATCAGAAACTTACACCTCAACAAAACAACCGATACAGACGGAATCAGAAACTTACACCTCAACAAAACAACCGATACAGACGGAATCAGAAACTTACACCTCAACAAAACAACCGATAAAGACGGAATCAGAAACTTACACCTCAACAAAACAACCGATAAAGACGGAAAATATCAGAAACTTACACCTCAACAAAACAACCGATAAAGACGGAATCAGAAACTTACACCTCAACAAAACAACCGATACAGACGGAATCAGAAACTTACACCTCAACAAAACAACCGATACAGACGGAAAATATCAGAAACTTACACCTCAACAAAACAACCGATACAGACGGAATCAGAAACTTACACCTCAACAAAACAACCGATACAGACGGAAAATATCAGAAACTTACACCTCAACAAAACAACCGATAAAACGGAAAAATCAGAAACTTACACCTCAACAAAACAACCGATACAGACGGAATCAGAAACTTACACCTCAACAAAACAACCGATACAGACGGAATCAGAAACTTACACCTCAACAAAACAACCGATAAAGACGGAATCAGAAACTTACACCTCAACAAAACAACCGATACAGACGGAATCAGAAACTTACACCTCAACAAAACAACCGATACAGACGGAAAATATCAGAAACTTACACCTCAACAAAACAACCGATAAAGACGGAATCAGAAACTTACACCTACACCTCAACAAAACAACCGATACAGACGGAAAATATCAGAAACTTACACCTCAACAAAGCAACCGATAAAGACGGAAAATATCAGAAACTTACACCTCAACAAAACAACCGATACAGAGGGAATCAGAAACTTACACCTCAACAAAACAACCGATACAGACGGAATCGGAAACTTACACCTCAACAAAACAACCGATACAGACGGAATCAGAAACTTACACCTCAACAAAACAACCGATACAGACGGAATCAGAAACTTACACCTCAACAAAACAACCGATACAGACGGAATCAGAAACTTACACCTCAACAAAACAACCGATACAGACGGAAAATATCAGAAACTTACACCTCAAAAATCAGAAACTTACACCTCAACAAAACAACCGATACAGACGGAATCAGAAACTTACACCTCAACAAAACAACCGATACAGACGGAATCAGAAACTTACACCTCAACAAAACAACCGATACAGACGGAAAAATCAGAAACTTAACCTCAACAAAACAACCAGACGGAATCAGAAACTTACACCTCAACAAAACAACCGATAACAGACGAAAAATCAGAAACTTACACCTCAACAAAACAACCGATACAGACGGAATCAGAAACTTACACCTCAACAAAACAACCGATACAGACGGAATCAGAAACTTACACCTCAACAAAACAACCGATACAGACGGAATCAGAAACTTAACTTACACAGAAACTTACAACAAAACAACCGATACAGACGGAATCAGAAACTTACACCTCAACAAAACAACCGATACAGACGGAATCAGAAACTTACACCTCAACAAAACAACCGATACAGACGGAATCAGAAACTTACACATCAACAAAACAACCGATAAAGACGGAATCAGAAACTTACACCTCAACAAAACAACCGATACAGACGGAATCAGAAACTTACACCTCAACAAAACAACCGATACAGACGGAATCAGAAACTTACACCTCAACAAAACAACCGATACAGACGGAATCAGAAACTTACACCTCAACAAAACAACCGATACAGACGGAATCAGAAACTTACACCTCAACAAAGCAACCGATAAAGACGGAAAATATCAGAAACTTACACCTCAACAAAACAACCGATACAGACGGAATCAGAAACTTACACCTCAACAAAACAACCGATACAGACGGAATCAGAAACTTACACCTCAACAAAACAACCGATACAGACGGAATCAGAAACTTACACCTCAACAAAACAACCGATACAGACGGAATCAGAAACTTACACCTCAACAAAACAACCGATATAGACGGAATCAGAAACTTACACCTCAACAAAACAACCGATACAGACGGAATCAGAAACTTACACCTCAACAAAACAACCGATACAGACGGAATCAGAAACTTACACCTCAACAAAACAACCGATAAAGACGGAAAATATCAGAAACTTACACCTCAACAAAACAACCGATACAGACAAAACAAATCAGAAACTTACACCTCAACAAAACAACCGATTATCAGAAACTTACACCTCAACAAAACAACCGATACAGAATGAATCAGAAACTTACACCTCAACAAAACAACCGATACAGACGGAATCAGAAACTTACACCTCAACAAAACAAAACATACAAACGCACAATATCAGAAACTTACACCTCAACAAAACAACCGATACAGACGGAATCAGAAACTTACACCTCAACAAAACAACCGATACAGACGGAATCAGAAACTTACACCTCAACAAAACAACCGATACAGACGGAATCAGAAACTTACACCTCAACAAAACAACCGATAAGACGGAATCAGGAAAAGACGGAATCAGAAACTTACACCTCAACAAAACAACCGATACAGACGGAAAATATCAGAAACTTACACCTCAACAAAACAACCGATACAGACGGAAAATATCATAAACTTACACCTCAACAAAACAACCGATACAGACGGAATCAGAAACTTACACCTCAACAA